GTTTAAATTGGATTAATATCATAGCAAGCGTAAAATTTTGTTTATTCAAAGTTAAAGTGGTGTAAATACCAGAACGTGAGATTGAAAATACATAGGTGAACGTAAACGAGAATATTTGTTTTGCTTGCGCTTACCATTGCATCAAAGCAATAGTAAAATATTACAGCGGAAACTCATGGGTAGTTGATTTTTCAATCTCTTCATAATAATTTCTCTTTATAAAATTTTAATTCTGTAACACGTTTCATACATCTTTAAATCAGACTTGAATAAATAATTAATTAAGTCTGTGGAAATTGTAAAATTGATGTAAGAAGGCTTCATATTTTAAATTCAAGTAATAGAAATTACTTGAAAAATATTCTAAATTTTGTAAACTTTTTAGTATTTTTAAGATTCGAAATTCTAGTTGTTTAGATTAATTTCTAAATTAATGGAATTTTGTATTGTCGAATTTTCAATTTCCTAAATTTTTCAAATTCATAAAATTCTAAATTTCCCAAATGTCCAAAAATTTGTCATATTTTCCTGATTCCCAAATTTCCCGAATCCTCCAACGTCCAATTCATTGAGTGCTAAGGATTTTTTAATTTAGCAGCATTACAAATTGGGAATCTTTCAATGTAGAGACTTTGAAAATTGGGAATTTCTGATTTTAAGAAACTGGAAAGTTAGGATTCTTTAAATTTGAAAATGCACAAAATGAAATTCCGTTTTTTGGCCCATTTTGCCTATTTAATTTTGTACAAAAATTCTGAAAGAATTCTGAAACACTGAGGTCCACATATGGACGAGACAAAATAATAAAGATATAAAACATATGATCAATATATACGAAGCATGTCCAAATACAAGCTGGGAGTAAAGCAAAGGGTGGACACACAAGATATTAACATGCGGTAATAATGTTATGTACAATAGTAGTGTATCACGTTAGTAGCTAATGTTTTACATAGTTACAATTTGAACAAGCCTTTTAATTTTATGGAAAACATGTAAAATATTAAATATTTATAATGACCCTAAATCGATGGATATCAGAGGGGAATGTCATGGTCTCCCCACGACCCCCCTCGTCCGTATATTAGCAATTCTAGAGGAGCCCGCACGAGTCTGACCTTCGCGGCGCCTTCACGTACCCGCAAACGAATTGCACTTTGGCAGCGTTTGAATCCAGTTTATTGCCCGCGTATCACACGGACAAATTAGGCGCTAGACGCTTTTCAGCATCATGCTACGATACGTTGCGAAACGAAATGGTACAGAACAATACGATACGCAACGAGATGAAGTGATACGAAAAGATAGCGGATGGAACGACACGGAAACGGGGACTTTATTAGTGTGACGGCCTTGGCACCACATACGCCGTTACCTTTTCTATTTTCTAAAATTCTTTTGTCTGCTTTCTATCTTCTCCAGCTTTACGTCCTCTAATTTTTCACGCTTTCTACAGGGTCTCACCGGGGCCTGGTCAGTATCAATGCTTAGGCCCTTGCGAATCTCTTCACTTTCTTTTTTATGATTCTCTTTCGCTGTACCTCTCCTTTTCCGAACTTCTCAACGGTTTTTCTAGATTTTCCCACTTTCTCGATTTTCTCTCTAACTATATTTCTTTCTTCTTTTCCTGACGAGTTTTCGAGGAGAGGTTTTAACCAGTGCTGAAACAGTCAGTCTGAGTCGTCTGAATAGTTAACATCGTTTATCGTACCCGTGCACTTATAATAAATTTGTGTGGAACGTATATATAGACATTTTTATTTTGTTCAGCCTTCATCCGAATCCCACAATGGGATTCAAATCGACAGCGGAAAGGCGCAGAAACTCAGTTAAAGTAATGAAGGGATAGAGAGGTGAGATTCTTTTGAGGGTAAAGAGCACAACACGCGGACACATTTCGAGAATTTAAAGGACAAGATTAGGCAATTTGATATTCTTACAAAGATAGACTTTAACTTTTAATAATAGTTAACAAGTTTTTTATTCAATGGACGCAGATAACAGTTCTTAGCAGTGGATACAGTAACAATACAGCTTCGTACGAGACGGTAATACAAAATCGGTAGTTGATTTCAGTGGCGTATAATCGGAATGCGAAAACGACTTACTACTATATGGTAATACGTTTCTTACTACGCCGCAAGTTTCGATAAGTCCATTTACATGTAAATGCGCGGTACAATAATTTACAAAATTCTTATGCGAGGGATTCCAAGTTAGCGGCCGTCTAGAAAGAGAAAATTCATACATAGCGGTATTTTCTGGAATACGCAAGGTACTCCGATACGATGCAACACGCAAACGGTATCTGCTCCCTTAAAAATGGATTACGAACTCGAGACACGGGAAGGCGCAGTTTAAAGCCAAACGCGATAGATTGCGGTAACGCGGTACAACTCCTTTCGAGATTCGGTAATCTAAGCAAGCTTCAGCCTCTAGGAGGATCGTGAAGGGATAACCTCATGTACTCTTAACCTAAACGGAACGGAACGGAACACCAGGAAAACGGAATCTTTCTAAAATCCCGGACAGGTGTTCCCTTTTTTTTTTAACGAGGGGAAATCTTCGAAAAGACACCCCCACTCCCCGGGGGAGGAGCGGGGAGAGTGTGGGATTTGTACCCACTAAAACCCCTTGGTGGTGGTGGGACTCACCACCCTCGACGGGTAGGTGAGTCACGGGATCCTCCTCCGGCTCCACAACTCACCCCCGTTATGCGCAGAAGGCGCTCTCCTCGTGAGGGGGAGAGAAGCTCCCCCTCAAGGAATAAAACCCACCCTCTTTTGAGCCGACCACGCCATCACGGTCGCCGTCGCCTCCCCCTGGCCGCGTGCAATGGTGCCCCGGATCCCCCGACCCGAGGCACCTGCGGCATGGCGGACCCCGTCAA